ATTTGCTGTCTCCACCACTCTCCCGGGCTCTCGGGAGCCCCCTTGGACTGTCAGGTGTGTGGGGACATCCGAAGGACACTGAGGGGCTCTCAAATGGAGTCAGATTGCCATTCAGACCACTGGCATGGATCTGCTGGGCAGAACGATTCAGTCGCATGTCAGATGCACATGCGAGGAGGAGCCCACGCCTGTGCACGACCGAGCGGTCAGCGCTGGAGCAGGCCCTCTGCCGTGAGGCCGGCACACAGGGCCCTGGCTTGCAGACCACTGCATCCTGGTGGCCGCCTCTTCAGTGAGTCACAGGACACTCCCTGATCCCATACCTCAGTTTCCCCCCTGTAAATATGAGGGCAGACTTTTAAGCTGACAGAAAATACAAAGTATCACAGGACGGGAGGAAGTGTGGCTTGTGACCCAGCAGACTCATGGCCTGTGACTCTTCCTGACTAAGTCGCTACGGCTTCCGCAGTGCGAACCTGGGACCTCCAATCTGGCGTGGTTGCTTTTGATTTTTTGTCTGTAATTTTCCAGGGAGATTTGTATCCATTAAACTCACTGGGAGCAAGGACAGTCACTCACGTACAGCTATGACACATGCAGGTGCCTGGGGAGGGTTGTGCGTGCATGTATGCTTGGGCATGTGTGCACACACATGTGGGGGATGTTCACATGCATGTGCTTGTGCATGTGCAAGGGTGTGCATTATGTGGGAGTATGCATTTGCGTGTGCACGCACATGTATGCACATGTGCATGTGTGTCGAGTCACAGTGACATACAGACAGCTAAAGCGAGAGCTGACTGCCCGTCTAGGTCACGGGTTCCAGGCCACGGCTGGAGTGTGAGCCACAGTGGACACCACAGGGAGTTGCATGCACGTCATTCTCTGCACAGTTGTTATTTGGAGCTGGGATTCAGATGGGAGCAGGGTAAGCTGGGCAAGACCTGGAAAATGCCGATGGCAGGGCCCTCCCGCAGAAGACGTGGCTGGTGGAGGGAAGCTGGATGTTAGCATGGAGACTCCTCCAGTTGGAAGTGGTGGAAAAACAACAGCTCCTTCTCAAGACTTAGCTCTTTGTTAATATTCAAGAACGTATACCAGGAATTCCTAAAAATGCCCGGCTTGTTGGAGGGAATGAAAGATAAAAGAAGCGAGTCCCAAATCCACCCAGCCACGATTACAGAACCGAAGGAAAAGGAAGACGAGCTTCTAATAGTCTTCACGCTGGGCTTACTTCTTCAACTTCCTTAATCAGCTAGAAATCCAGCAAGAATTGATGTTCACATTATTTTAGATATTCTCATCTTAATCCTGGTTGAAGCCATTTAATTTCATGTGTACGTCGTGGGGATATCTGTTGGACCATGCATGTTTAAAATGCACGATCCTTAACTATCAGTAGCCCTTAATTATCCATATTTTGGAGGGCACGTGGATTCAGCTTTGAAGCAGAGCCTCGAACAAGAATATTTAGAACACATGAAAACAGTGCTGACTTGGCAGGTGGTGGGTCCTAACCTGGACTTGCTGAGCGCATCACTGGGCGAGCCCTGACACGGAGAGGCAGGAGGCCGCGGCCCAGTGGCCAGCGCTGGGTGGAGTCGCACCTCAGACCATCTCAAGGTGTTGTCCCTGGCCTTAAGGGGCTCTCAGTTAAGGTTGGGGGAACTGCACAGTTTTGCCAACCAAGGGTCACAATCTCAGCCAGCTCTCCAGCTTCGGGGGCTTGAGGAGTCACACTTCCTCTTTCAGGCCCACTGGGGGCCATGGGTGAGTGACCGGGAACACAGCGGCTCAGCCAGTGGGGACGGGGCTTGGGCCAGAAATGTGGGGCAGCCTGTCCCTCCTCCTCCGGAAACATCGACGGTCTGGGCGCCGCTCACGGGGGTTCTGAGCTCAGGCACGGCGTGCGGGGCCCGGAATGGTGGGGGGCGCCTTCTCCCACTGGTCTGCTCCCACTGTCGGGGCCACATCTGAGCTGTTCCACATCTTTTTCTCTTTAAGGATTCCCTTCGGTAAAGCCCCTGGCTGTGGCTTTTCATGCAAGAGAACATTGAGTTAAGGTCATTTTAGCAAAAAAAAAAAAAGGAAAAAAAGAAAACGTTTTTTTGAGCGTCCATATCCTTAAAAACAACGCAAAATTAAGAAATAAAAACAGAACTACAGGACGTCTTGGCTTGATAACGAGGTCAGCTGCAAACCGCAGGACTCCTCATGCCTGCCAGCTCTGGGCGGCCGGGGTGGCTGCAGCCTGAGGAACAGGTGCTCCAGAGGCGGCGACGTGGCTGCTGCCGTGGTCGGTCTGGTGGCCAAGGGGCGGCAGGCGCGGAGGGGGTGGGCATGGGCGCAGGCGAGGGGAGGCCAGACCTGTCCTGCCCGGCCCCTGCACCTCCCAGGAGACCCAGGCGGCAGAAGCCAAAGTTAACCCAGGAGCTGACGGTGAGGTTCAGGGGGACGTAGGTGTGTGCACCACGTGGTCCTGGGGCCCTGAGTTCTGGAGGGCACGTCCAACCACAGCTCTCACACAAGCCTTTGTGAAAATACCCTTTCTTTCCCTCAGAAAAACAAGGTGTAGTCATTACAGAAATTTGGGGAAGGTGAGAAAAATAAAAGAAACTAGAGTCATCTAGAATATCACCATCAGAGGTGGCTAGCATCAACCTTTCTATGTATTTCATTCCAACTGTGAGTGTGCAAACAAGTGTGTGTGTTTGCATGTGTGTGAGTGTATACACGAGTGTGTGAGTGTGCATGCACATGGGGGCAAGGATAATGTAGCACTGACAACCCCAGATGTCAGCCAGCCTGGGTCGAAGTCCGGCCCCACCTGGGTGGACTGTGGCAAGCGTGCGTCTGCCTGGGCCCCGCGTGTGGAGCACAGGCTTGAGGTGACCCCACAGGGCCGTTGTGATGACGGGCGGCCCATCCGTCCGCAGTGCCCACACGAAGCAGACTGTTAGTCACTGTGAGCTCTCGTCACCAGGCTGGTGTGTGTCATTCCACGCGCCCTGCACACAGTCGTGTGTCTGCCTTCTCACTTATGGCTGTACTGCATTTTCCCGTGGTAGTCACCATTCTCTGAAAATATGGTTTTTAACGTGATTATGGGTAACGCTGCAGTGAACTCCTCACGTGTAGGTCTACGTGGGTCTGATCGTCTCCTTAGAATTAGTCCTGGACGTAAGATTATTGACGAAAGGATGCAGACGTTTCAGGGGTCGTGACACATTCGGCCTGGCGGAGAGACCACACTCGGATCTGTCCAGCCGCACTGTGGCGTCTCGTCGCTGGGCGCTAGATCTCACTGTTGCCTGGATTTGCAGCTCTGGGACTGTCGTTGAACTGAACATCTCGAGCTCTGCGTGTGCCCGACTGGAGGGGCCAACAGCAAGCCCAGCCCCCTCCAACCTGCTCCCCCAGGAAGCATCCTAAATGCCCCCAGAACCCACTGAGCAAGCCTGCGGCCCAAGGCGCCAGGACACAGGAAGGGACGCACGCAGCGCTGGGACCCAGAGCATGTCGTCCCTTGACCTCGGCCATCCCAGGGCCCTGGGGCCAGTGGGCAGGGCGAGGGGCTCCCGGAGGTCTCCTTAGTGGTGGCAGAGAAGGACACACCGCGGGTGCTCTTCCAGTTTTCCGGGCGGCTCGAGTGGCTCTCAGAACAGACATCCCCGTCCCAGGCTGCTTGCGGCTCTGCCCTCATGGTCTTTGCCGCCCTGTTCTGTGCTCTCCAGTGCATCCTGTCCCTTCTCCCTCATGGCCTGCAGCCCTGTACCGCATTCCTCCTGCGACCCCGCTCCCCCTCCCAGGCCCTGCCTGGCTGCTCCGAACACGCCAGAGGAGCCGGCTGGTCCCTTTGCTCACAACACCCGTGTGCTCTCCCCTCACAGCCACCTTCTCAGTCCTTTTTCTGTCCATCTCAGTTAAATCAGCACCCCCACCCCCACACTCCCATCTCCCGGTTAGTTTTCTTGGTAGCTCGCCTCCTGCCTGACCGATGTCTACTTTGCTCAGTGCCTCCCTCCTGGAGTAGGGGTCCCTGGGGCGTCCCCTGGGGTGACTGCAGCCCCACACAGCACCTGGCCCCCGATAGGCCTGGATTTCTCACCCGGGCTGCCAGGTCTGCACCCTCCCGGCCTCCAGCAGGGGCATAGGGTCATCTGCACCACCCAGAGAAGGGCCTGCAGGCCACCACCGCACGTAGAAGTGCAGACACCTCAGGTCTCTGGGCCCCTCACTGCTCAGGGAACTTATCCCACTCGGTGGACTCACAGCCAGGCGTCTCCTGACGGAGAAAGTCTGGGAATCGCTCTCCTGGCATCACCTCACCACTGAGCTTACCCTCCGGAGCTTTGCCAACACCTGCTCCAGCCCCGTGCTGGCACTGCCCTCAGACACGCCCTCGGCAGGCAGCCCATGGGCTGACCAGCCCACGGGAGACCCTGCAAGGCCCAGATAAGTGTGCCACTCATCTCGACTCCTCCAGGAAGGGGGCCCTGCTCCTTCTAAGCCTGCGGAACAGGGGCAGCAGGCGCGGTGCCCGGTGTACCCCATCCTGCGTGCCCCACGACGCACCGCAGCTCTGCCTCAGATCCAGAGTCAACGGTGCAGTGATTCAGGGCCCGGGGCAGGGAGCGTGAGAGAGAACACGAGGGGAGAGAGGTGCGCAACCTCCCGCCCGGCCGCTGCTTCCTCCACAGCGTCTGGCCCCCTTGAGGGCCTTCCAGGTAAACCTCTCAGGGTCGGGTCCCTCCTGCGACACGTGGGGACAGAAGAATATGGCTCTGCTTTGGGCCCCGGGACAAGAGCGCTCAGAGAGGAACTTAGAATCTGAGTCAAGTGACATGTTGATGACTTGCTGCCTTGAATCAATTTTTGTTTAATTTTAGTTTTATTCATCCTTTTATATGTATATCTTGGCGTTAGAAGCGTTTATTCCTTTTTGGGTGCAGGAGAATTATAAATCTTAAAACCAAACCCAAAACGTGGTGGCTGTAAAGATAACCGTATGTGCTGGCCAGCCCACCACCCACACGGGTCCCGCCCCAGAGCCAGGCCCTTGTCTTCAGGCGAACCTGCCTTGGGGGACGATCAGGGCTCCCACCCCACTGAGCAGGGGAGACCTGCAGAGACTGGCCACGGCAGGGAGAGGCTGCCATGGGGAGTGTGAGGACCCCCAGAAGGCCAGGCTGCAGCGGGGGGACCTGCTCCACCGCTGTGAGCGCGGAGCTCTCCCTGCAGTGCGGTTGGCGCCTGGAGGGCTCTGGGCGCTCGTGGGGCCCTCAGACGTCACTGTCACAGTATGCTCCTACTGCTACAGCATGAGCACGAGTTTCTGTGGGACGACGGGCTTTCACAGCAACATTTTAGTTGGGGACATGGTAGGAAACGAAGACAAATTACATTCAATGCTGGTTTCTACTTGTATTTTTACATATATGTTTTAAATAGCTTGATGGATCCAAAGAGCTATTACAAACTTCTAGGAAACATCAGAAAAATAAACTGTCTGAAACAAAAAAGCAAAAGTGTAAGTAAAATTAATTAAACAAGAACGCCAACACTAAAAAAATTCCAGTCTAAAAAAAGAAGCAAATATGGGACACACATGAATGTGGGGTGTTTTATAAAGGGCTGGACCACATCCTGCTCTGTGTGGCAGGTCTGCTACCTACTGGGGCCTCCTCGGTGACACCACAATGTCAACAGATGTGGAACAAAGTCTATTTAGGGCAAAACTCTCAAGTACAAGGCTTGGGCCGTCTTGGAGCAAAATTCTACTTTCTGGGAAAGCAATTTACATGCCACATTTCAGTATCTATAAAACGTGAGACCATCTTAAAATGCTACACCTCTGCAAACGCTGCATTTTTAAACATCTTTCTCTATCTGTCTGTCTGTCTTTCCAGGTAAATTTCCTCCCTGGAGGAACTTAATCAGCTCGTTCTTTCATCCTTTCCCTTGTTCATTGGTCTGTTCTTTCCTACCACCAGTCACCAACCTGTGTTCACTGAATGCTCGCTGCACATCAGGCACTCTTTTCTTCAGGCTCCAGGAACGTGAAAATAAAGCAGGACAGTCTCCTGTCCTCCACCCGCGTCAGTCCTGCTGGGGGACCTGGACAGTAGACTGAGGTGTTGACACGAGGTTTCTCTGGAACGACACACAGCCGAGGGGCCTGAAATGCCTGGTGAGCTTCGGGCAGGAAAGCGTTCTGACACATGCAGCCCTGAATCCATCGAGCTCCGTCTGGGAAGCCGGGTCACTCCGTGGGGCCTAGAACCTGAGAGGAAGAGGCACCAGGAGAGGACGGCTCCCGTCACGAGGGTTCTCCTGCAGCAGTGAGTCTGTCCCACGACCGACAGCATCACCACCACCAAGGACAGCGGATTGTAGGGAGCCTGGGCAGTTAGGGGGCAGTTGTGCAAACAGTGTGAAGAGGACCTCAGACGGCGGGAGCTGTGGGGTTAGGAGCGGCGTTAGGGGGAGACAGGGACACGATCCCGCAGGGGCAGAGGAGGGCCAGCTCTCCATCCTGGCTGGCCTTTGGCAATGAGGACTAGTGGGTGTGGACTGAGGCAGCAGACTGCAGGGGCAAGCAGGTCACACTGGACCTGGGGTCATGCTCAGACCTGGGACCACACCTGGGCCTGAGGTCACACTGGACCTGGGGTCATGCTCAGACCTGGGACCACACCTGGGCCTGAGGTCACACCGGACCTGGGACCACACCTGGGCCTGAGGTCACACCGGACCTGGGACCACACTTGGGCCTGAGGTCACACTGGACCTGAGGTCACACCTGGACCTGGGGTCACATCAGACCTGGGGTCACACTGGACCTGGGTTCACATCGGACCTGGGGTCACACTGGACCTGGGGTCACATCGGACCTGGGCTCATACTGGACCTGGCGTTACCCAGCTCGCGGCGACACTCTTTCCAGTTGCCGCACAAGATGGTAGAAGACCAGCCGCTCCAGAGACAGCCTCAGACTTCTCTTCCAAGTGGGAAGAGCGTTACTGGTGTAATCTCTGCCACCCTGTGCCCGCACATGCACCCCCTGGAAGGGCCTGGACAAGCCGGCCACTCAGACCCCTATCCTCTGCACAGGGAGAGGGACCGAGACGGAGGTTCCACTCTCAGAAGACTTACTCCTGTCCTGAAAAGCCAGGGCAAGGGCTGGGCCTGACAACTCCTGATGGCCACCAGGTGTGAGGAGCGCCAGCCTGGGCTGAGTGACCAGGCCGAGGGTGAGAACAGGCCTGCCAGCTTCTGGAATCTTCTATCCCAGCCAGGAGCCTGTGGGGCCTGAGGAACGGCTGCCCCGTCAGGTGGTGGTGGTCCTTGGCCCAGCGGCTGAGGCTGCATGTGTCCTTTGGCAGGAAAAACGTCCTCCCTAGTCACTGTGATGTCACCAGATGCCAGGGAGGGGCTCAGAGAGAGGGATGCCCTAGAAGACAGCAGGGGACCCCAGGCTCCCGTCCCCAGTCAGAATGAACCACGTTGGCCACTCATCCCAGAGTCTGGAGGGGAGCTTGGATGCAAAGTCTGACCTCTGGGGCTGGTTTCTGAGCAGCCTGTACCTCTAAAGCCTCTGAAATTTGGGAGGTTCCGGCTTTTCTCACGAGGTCTCTGGGTTGCTTCTCCAGCAGGCCTCCTGTTGGTGGCCTGGCGGGCTCCATCTCTCTGAGCCGGATCAGAAAGGAACGTGCGTAGAAGGGTGTGGGTGGGAGCTGGCTCTGCCGGAGTTGTCACCAGACTTGTGAAAATGTCCATCTGATTTGAACGGGAGGCTCAGCTCCGTTCTGAGCTCGCCGGCCAGCATCCGTGCCAAGTCAAACCTGCCATGTCTGGACTGCAAGTAAGGAAATCTGTCTAAAACTTCCTACAAGCTTAAAAGTTTCACTGAGAATACTTGGGAGTAACGTTGCTCGAGAAGCCGGGTGTAAGAAAGAGCATTTGTTTTGCTTAAATGGAAGCCGGGCCTCCTGGGCCGCTGGTGCTGGTCTGTGCTTTGTGATCCTCAAACCAGCGACTCGCGCTGATGAGAAACCTTGCGATGGAACAGCAATGGTCTTGGACGCCTCCCTCCCTCCCCGAGAAGAGAGCGCCTGTTCCGGGGGCCGGCACGCCCGCCCCCTCGGAGGCAGGGCCCCTGCAGCCTGACTTGGCCCCGGACAGGTGCCCACGCGGAGGTCCTGGCCGCGCGAGACTTCTCCACAGTCTCAGTGGGAGGAAAAAGCCTCGTGCCACCAGAATGGGTTTTATTGGACTCGAAAAGGAGTGACATGCGCTTAAAGTATGTCACAGATTCCTTCACGGGATGAGCGGGGCGTGGTGGGCCACACGACCCGGGGCCAAAGAAAGGAAGAGGCCACGGAGGAAGCAGCACCCCACGCACGTCCCTCGGGCTATGCACAGCGCGTGCAGGGTTTACCCAGGGGCTGTGTGTGGCTGGACACAGCGGACACCCGGGCCGCACGACACCCGAGAGGAGGAGCTGTGTTTCTGTGGTGCCACCAGCCCTCCCGCTGTGACTCTGGGATTCCTCCTTGCCACTTAAAACAAGAATCAAAACCAAACCCGCATGGTTTGTCTTTTTGACTGTGGAGCATCAAAGCACCTCAGGGAAACTGGGGCTTCAGAAGAGTCCACACAGTCCCCGAGTCCTGCACACCGGCTCTCCTCACTTTGAAAACAGCTGTGGGGAAACATCCAGAATTCCCAAAGAGCGCCAATGCAGGGCGAGTCCCTCCTGGATGCTGAGCTCCTTCACTGCATTATTTATTGATTTAATTTTATTTATTGATTTATTTTTGCTGAGGAAGAGTGGCCCTGAGCTAACATCCATTGCCAATCTTCCTCTATTTTGTATGTGGGTCACCACCACAGCATGGCCACCAACAAATAGTGAAGGTCCACGCCACAGAGCCAAACCCGCAAATCTGGGCCACCGAAGTGGAGCACGCCTAACTTAACCACTATACCATGGGGCCAGCCCCTGTATTTTTAAATTGTGGTAAGATACTCATAAAATTTACCATCCTGACCATTTTTAAGTGCACAGTTCAGTGTATTAAGTACATTCACACTGTCGTGCAGTCGTCTCCAGAGCTTTCTCACCTTCCCAAACTGAAAGTCCATCCCCATTAAATACCAACCGCCCTCCCCCTCTCCAGCCGCTGGCACCCACCGTCTACTCTCTGTCTCTGTGAATCGACTGCTCCAGGGACCTCACATAAGTGGAGTCATACAGCATTTGTCCTGTTGTGACTGGCTCATTTCACTCAGCACAATGTCCTCCAGCTTCATCCACGTTGTGCCAGAATTTCCTTCCTGTTTAAGGATGAGTAATAGTCCATTGTATGGACAGGCCGCATTTAGCCTACCCACTCATCCGTCGATGCACACTCGGGTCGTGTCCGCCCTTGGCTACCGTGAACAATGCTGCTGTGGACATGGGCGTGAATCGCTCTTCAAGATCCTGCTTTCGGTTCTTCTGGGTGTAGACCCAGCCTGCACAGTATTTCAATGCATGATCTTATCTTTCTCTAAGCCACTTTTTACACAAGTTTGTAAAATTTAACTTTTCATTTAATTGAGATAAACCTGTAATTACTCTTTTTTACATTGATAACCAATGTCATCTCCCAGTAAGTCTTCTAATAAACCTCCATGGCTGGAAAGAAAGAGGGAAGGAGAAGAAAGGGGAGCTCGGAAGACGGTCTCAGCTCCCGGCTGCCGCCCAGTCTGCTTTCCTACGCTGAGTCCAGCCTGGCGAGTCTCAGGGCAGCACTTCCCACAGGCCCCTCTCCGCCACCCGCACGCCCACCCGCCGGCCACTCCTCGGGAATTGCTTCTCCCAGACCCCCAGAGCGTCTCGCGTCTCCCTGACGCTGCCTGACCTCAGGCCCCAGGTTTTTCGTCAGTAATGATCGATTATGACCTCTGGGACCTCATGGGAGCTTCACTCAGGGAGCCTCGCAATCGCGTGGGCGGCCGTAACCCTTTGGGCACCTTCTTCAGTCTTCGCCCCAGGCCCCACCAGCCCCGTCTGGGCGGTTGGCCCGCTTCTCGTCGCTGTGACTGACCTTGACTTGCCCCCAGCTCCTCCAGCAAACCTCCTGCCTTCTGCGACTTTCACCTCAGAACCCTCACGCTTTCTTAGAACTGGGGCGGCTCACGGGCTCTACGAAAACCAGGGCACTTTGGGGTGAAAGGGGCACGGATCCCAATCAGGCTGGCAGTGGGCGTAGGTCCACACAGCAGCGCAAGTCCGCCGGCTGCAGGTCCTGCCGTGACGCTGGCTCCTCTCCCGCATTTCTGATGCCCCCGTTGTCATCGCCTCCCATCCCCATGGAGAACCCTGGTCTTAAACTCGCCGTCCATTCTAGCTCTTTTTTAAACCTCTTTCCACTTTCATTCTCTGGATAAAATGACAGCACAGCTCTCTTGTTAAAGTTGATCCCTTTCTTTCCCTGTGTACTAAACAGGGCTTTGCCTTTTTGTTTGAAGGATGCTACAAACACGGAAATATAAATTCACTCTGCTCACATTTCAAAGGTCCAATTGTGCCCCGGTGTGGCGATGGAAGAGAATGCAGACCAGAGATCCTCTATGGACGTGCGAGGCTGACCTGCTCGCTGGGGGTCTCACCGCAGCTCCAGGAAGTGGAGAGAATTCAAGTGACAGCCATGCCACCCCGGCTTCTCTGTGGAACTCTGGTCTTTGTAACACCAGATACTATGTTTATTATCTAATTTATTCGTCTATTTCCTCAACAAATATTTCTTAATGCCTTTCATATGCCCCCAAGCATTTTAAGCAGATGTTTAATAACAGGAAAATACACCCCTTTCATGCAATATGATTATACAATATCACAATTTGTCCTCACAAAGTCAATTAAATTAGGACATGAATTCCCTCCCAAAAAATGCAATGATTTATGATACATAGAAACCCTATGATATCTTGAGTTTCTTCATTCCAATATTTTTGCCCATGAAAAAGCTGGCAGTTAGCATGACAGAAGAAGGCTAAGTGTATGTATCTGTGCAAGCAAGTGCATTACCTTGCTGGGCTGAAAATAATTCTGAGAAAGTATAATACATTGGAAGAAAATCCGGAGTTCAAAGGCCAAAGGTCACAAGCCACCTCTCCGGTAACCAGTTAAGTTACTGAGCTAAGTCACTTAGCTGCTCCACATGTCAGTTTCCTCACCTAGAAAATGGGATCACGAGACCTCTGCCCTCAGGGACTGTCACTACGATGAGACGTGAGGTGAGGTCTCCTTGCACACGGACAGCGGGAGGGCAGGGGCACACTGCGGGGAAGACAAGACGAGCAGGAGGAGCTGGAGGGCACGCAGCGACTCCACCTGCCGCAGTTGGTTTCCAAATCCTCGTCTCCGGGTTTCAAAATGGTTAGCTAGGCCCCACTAACTGCTTTTGTCCCCCAGGATCCGCCCCGTCCCTGCTCCCTCTGTTCCTATTGTGGCCCCATGACAGGCCTAATTCCAAGCACGCACACCTGGGCCTCGAGTTCTGGAAGGGCCGCCTGCCTGGTGGCACCGTCAGCCGAGGACCCTCCCGGTTCCTGAGGGGCGCTCTCCGCCGGCACGGCTCCTCCCCGGCTCAGAACGCGTCCAGAGCTGGGAGGGCGGCAGAGGAGCTGGAATCATTCCCTGCGATGAGCAGGTGGACACCCATGCACCAGACGGCAAGCCGGTCAGTTCCTGGAAACCGAGTTTCCCACCCTCGCTGAGGTTAGGGGGTTTACTGACCCTCCTGCACTCACTCTTCCAGCGCTGTTCCCAAACCCAGATGCCTGAGCGCCCACACAACCCCTGCTGCATCCACATGTCGCCTGTGCTATTAGTCACTTAATGCTTTTCTTCAAACTAATTTTAAATGTAACCTTTTTTTTAACTTGGCCTTATCATAAGTAAAACACGTAACACGATGGGCTTAATGTAGTTGTTATTTTTCTATTACACATTGAAACGAATATATAATAATTATTTAACAAATAAGATAAAAAACATTTGTCCATATGCCACCTAAGAAGCCTCTCTCATCCCAAAGGAGTCAGCGCAGCAACTTCGGGAAACTGTCCTGAACAGCCACGTCTGCCCCTGGAGAAGCCCCTCCCGGCGGCCGCTCGGGCGCACCTGGCACAGCGGGCCAAGCTTGCAGGGGAGGCCGCTGGAGGACCGTCTCCATCTAGCGGCCACCGCCTCTCGCTACGCCGAGAAGCAGGTCCGCTGTGGGACGGCCTGGCGTCCTCCGGGGATGAAGGTGGTTGGGCATCAGACAGCCGCGATGGTCGCGTGACTTTGTGAGGGGACGAAAATCACTGGATTGTGCACTTCAAAGGGGTGAGCCACACAGTGGAAGCCAGATCTCAACTGTAGAAAAAGAACCTTCGTGAAAGGATTCGAGATGAGCAGGGAGGGAAAACAACACCAAGCCCTCAGCAGGAATTAAATCGACTGACGCAGAGCGAGGCCTGTCCGTCCGCTCCATCCTGGGGCAGGAAGTTTACCTCCAGGGACCAAAAGTCCTAAAAGTAGAAATCGATTCTTTCCTTTGGGTGTTTGTAAACCACAGCTACAGTTCCTATTAAACACAGTTTTCCCAGCATTCCTTTATATGATATTCCACAATTTCGTTTCTTTTTAAGACCATTTCTCCCTGAAAAGTGCTTTCAAGCTGCAATTACACAGATCTGAGAAGTGCAGCGCATGCCTTTGCTCCTGCCTCGCAGTGGCGTTTGTGGGCATCGTTAAATTATGTTTTATTCTTAGGGGAGGCTAAGGAACATCTGCTGCCAGACAGAAACCATGTGTTATGACAAGACACTACATCAGGCGTCCTAACACGATATATGCCTTACAATTACACTTACTGCCATTACAGAAATCCCACTAATGTTCTCATCACACCAACTCAAGACTCTTCCTCTGTAACTCACTGACTGATCAGTGCAATTATTTTGTAAAGGTCTTTCAGTGGATGCAAAATAACCAGAAACAGTAATTATTATTATTTAAGATTCAAGCATTAATTTTCCAGCTGAGATGCAGCCTCAGCCTCACACAGCTACAGGTGTGGATAAAGGAAAACAACGCCCTCTGTGCACAGCCTATCAGAAAATGGGCTCCCTAGAAAGGAGGGAGAACACTGAGCGGTCTCTCGTCCTGCAAGGAGCGTGCTCCCCCTACAGCCTGTTGGGAGTCTGGCGCTGAGAGCTCCAGAGAATCCAGTGTGACCCTCACCTCTGCCATAGCCACAGCTCATGTCTTCACAGCCCTAAACTCATTTTCCTTGTCTGTAAGCTTCAGAGAGAAAGGGCCTTCATGGGGTGAGCAGAAGTGCCAGCCCCAGCTGCCCCTCAACAAGAGTGGTGTGCACCCTTCCAGCCTCAGGGCCTCAGCTGCAGGGAGCCACGCTGGGGCCTGGGCAGGGCAGGAAGAAAAGCCCGAGCAGCATTTGGGACAGCTGTGACGGCCACACGCCCTCCGGAGCTCTGGCCCAGGCAGTAAAGCTGGTGGGGTCAGCACTGCAGTCAGCTTGTGCCTCTGCCCGTCCTGCTTCCACCCTGTCCTCTCACAGCTGTTGATCCAAAACACGTCTTACACCTCCAAGTCCACCTGCGTGTCAGCCTCAGTCTACAGTGTGCAGGACAGCCCTGCATGCCACAGAATCTCTCAGCCCAAAATGTCAGCGGTGCTGCGTTCAGACATCCTGAGCTAGAGGGACCAAGAAAAAGGAGACGAGACACAATTAGCAAAATGGGCAACACCCAACCATAGAGAAAAATAAAAGGATTATAAGGGAATATTATGAACACTTTACGCCAATGAAGATGAAATGGGCAAACTCCTAGAAAGATGCAAGTGATCAAACCTCACTCAAGAAGGAAGAGGAAATCTGAATGGACCTTTAACGACTAAACAAATT